GCAATAAGCACAATAATACTTGATCATCAGAGAGACAGATTCCAACTCAGAGAGACAGATTCCAACTCCTTCAATGCGCAAAAAATGCACCAAAACTAGCACAGACAGACTTTTCATGCCCATGCAAAAACAGGTTAACTGACAAGAAATAACAATATCAGAGAGACTAACCTTAGGATAATAAATCTAAGAAAATATAGCCAAGGCATTAAATAAATTACAGGTTGGATAATGAGGACTTTTAAGTGAAGCCACGATAATGATGGTAGCTCGGTTGGTAGCGCACTCAGCTCACACACAGGTTTTTAGTTCCATCCCCGGTACGGTGGAAATATTGGAGGCGTGTTAAGACACCCGCTGTCCCTGTTCACTTAGCAGTAAGTAGGTACCTGGGTGTTAGTCGACTGGTGTAGGGTCATTGATGTCAGCTATGGTCTGTATAAGTTATATCATGTACCTATAAAAAATATTAATACCGTTATTATTATTATTATTATTATTATTATTATTATTATTATTATTATTATTATTATTATTATTATTATTATACTTTGTTGTCTCGTCTACAATACTGTGCTGATGATGGGTGCTGCCAACGCCAGTATACCACAAAGGAAACCTTCAATCTTCTCAACGTTTCGCTCTGTGTATAGCTGCATCAGGTGTGAAACGTCTTTTATAATAAAGATATACTTAAAACAAATGTAAAGATAATTTACTGTCTACACAGAATGAAAGAAATTTTTACTATTGAGATAAACCCGAAGCGAAAAACTCACTGTCAGGAGGAAAAAAAACTGAGAACGAGTGTGGGCTGAACCGTGGCAAGTGCGTGACGAGCCGTCTGTGTCCTGTGGAGTACCTTTTACAGCCCCATGACAGGTGCAGCCGTATTACAAAGGCACGGTGAGCCTTCTGTAGTTTAGTGAAGTACAGTTTATAGCCCTATGGCGGGGGCAGCCCTATGACAAGGGTCACTGTGATTCTTTCAACTCCGACTGAGCCATTCCTGGCACTCAGGCCGCAGTTAGAGTGCCAGAACGACTCAGCAGGTTCTCTGGAAGGTGTATTGAACACCTAACGTCTAGCAGGAGTGGCAGTAGTAGTGGTAGTAATAGTAGTGGTAGTAATAGTAGTTGTAGCAGCAGCAGCAGCAGCAGTAGTAGTAGTAGTAATGATTGTAGTTTGTGAGTGATCTGTCAACATCACGTTACAGCGGTCCTTAATTGCAAACACAACTCAAAAAATATTTTCTAACAATCGACATATGTAAAGTAAAACTATCTGAACCTCTTACTAAAAACTAATGAATCAATGCAACAGTTTGAATGTTGACACAACCCCCATAATTTAGGGGTAAGGGAAAGGGCAGCATCAGGCTGAGTAACATAGTTAGGTCTAAACCGGGGGTTTTGGGGACTGATGATACGGGTGTGTCATAACATGAGTGTGCCGGTGACGGGTTATAGTATGAGTGTGGTATGCTTAGAAGAGGTGTTTCATGAGGTGGGTACTAGTGATCCAAGGCTGAGCTGGCAACATAGTTAGGTACTGAGTGATGGACCGGTGCTGGTGATGCAGGTGGGTACTGAGTGATGGACCGGTGCTGGTGATGCTGGTGGGTACTGAGTGATGGACCGGTGCTGGTGATGCAGGTGGGTACTAATGGACCGGTGCTGATGATTCAGAAGATACTCATGTTGACTAAGGAGGGTGATACTCTGGCTGTTATTATCTGAAAGAAGGTCGATCTGTCTCTCTCTCATTCACACACATACACACGCACAAAAGTGCAAAGGTTTGCAACAAGATTAGTCCCAGAGCTAAGGGTAATGTCCTACGAAGAAAGGTTAAGGGAAATCGACCTAACTACACTGGAGGACAGGGACACAGGGGGTACATGATAACAACATATAAAATACTGAAAGGAATCGACAAGGTGGACAGAGACAGGATGTTCCAGAGATGGGACACAGCAACAAGGGGTCACAATAGCAAGCTGAAAACTCAATTGAGTCAGAGGGATGCTAGAAAGTATTTCTTCAGTCATAGAGTTGTCAGGAAATGGAATAGTCTAGAAAGTGATGTAGTGGAGACAGGATCCATACATAGCTTCAAGAAGAGGTATGATAAATCTCATGGAGCAGGGAGACAGAGGACCTAGTAGCGACCAGTGAAGAGGCGGGGCCAGGAGCTATGAATCGACCCCTGCAACCACAATTAGGTGAGTACACACACACACACACACACACACACACACACACACACACACACACACACACACAGGGGCCAGGAGCTGAGTCTCGACTCCTGCAACCACACATCTCTCTCATTTCAAAAAAATTCTAAATCCCTGTATTTCCCGTACGAATTTCATAGACCAATTTCATCAGGACCAATAAGCGCCCCACACACCTTTCACAGACTGAAATCTTCTCGACCAATCACCACACACCTTTCATTGACTGAAATCTTCTCGACCAATCACCACACACCTTTCATGAACTAAATTTCTCCCTTGATCCCCAATTGGCTGCTTTTTACGCGATCAACACCGTCCCTAATCCAGGAAATTTCGCGCAATAAATTTTCTCGACCTGACAACCTGAAGCAGGTCATGTGTCTGATGCATTTATATTATATATATATATATATATATATATATATATATATATAATATCTATATATATATATATATATATTATTAATATATACACCACTAAATGGGGAGTTAAATGATAGCTCTAGGCCCTTCGTGCTTCAGCCAACACTTTCTCAGGAATTTGCAATGTTGCAGAGGTAACAGAGACTCCGGGCAGATGCAACTATGGGAGCATCTTTTCCAATAGCAACTGCTTCCATGAAGGCACCTACCTGAACTCTCTCTATTCCCTCTGCAACATTGCAAGCTCCCGAGAAAGTGTTGACTGCAACACGAAAGGCCTCGAGCTATCACAGTAAACAGGTGATATCACTATTTTTTTTTTACACTATGCTTACTTTGCAACATAAAGATAAGCATTACGTTATATGAGAGACAAAAAAAAAAGTATTGAAATAAGCCTACTGCTCATATTCTTTTTTATTTTGATTGGTAGAGAAGGGATTAGAAGATAAGAATCCAATCCCTGGATGAACTACTGATGTGGTTAGAGTTTCACTAGGATTGGAAGGATAAACATTTGAAAAATTGATTTGGTAGATGATTAGTGAGAAGGAGGGAAGGTGGGAGGGAGGGAGGGAGCAGAGGAGAGGAGCGGAGGGAGGCAGAGGAGGGAGGGAGGGAGCAGAGGAGGGAGGAGGGAGCAGAGGAGGGAGGGAGGAGCAGAGGAGGGAGGGAGGGAGCAGGAGGGAGGGGGAGCAGAGGAGGGAGGGAGGGAGCAGAGGAGGGAGGAAGGAGCAGAGGAGGGAGGAGGAAGGGCAGGAGGGAGCAGAGAGGGAGGGAGGGAGCAGAGGAGGGAGGAGGGAGAGGAGGAGGAGGAGCAGAGGAGGGAGGGAGGGAGCAGAGGAGGGAGGGAGGGAGCAGAGAGGAGGGAGGGAGCAGAGAGGGAGGGAGGAGCGAGGAGGGAGGAGGGTAGCAGAGGAGGGAGGGAGCGGAGGTAGCAGGAGGAGGGAGGGAGGGAGAACTGGTAACCAGACCTGGTATCAGGTCAGATAATGGCCGGGCTCAGCTTGAAATCATTTATTGTTATACCTTGATGGATCTCATGAGTCGTTAATTAATTAATTAGATGATGTTGCTGTCTCACCTACTATAAATAAATATAATATATATATATATATATATATATATATATAATTATATATATATATATATATATATATATATATATATATATATATATATATAATATATATATATATATATATGCGAAGAATAAGAATAGAAAATATATTATGGAAAGTGTGTTAGTGATTTAGATATAATAACGTCTTATTAATTCTGAGGCGATACTTGGGTCATCAACTTTATTTTTGATATTAATATTTTCCCAGACTGGATCATCAACTTACAGGTGTTACCATTATATATAATTATGCAGCTGCCTTCCGCTCACCAACGAAAATCCGCTGTCTTGAGCGAAACAAAAGTGCAAGTGAGATGTATAATTATTTCGTTAGTCTTTTTTTTTCATTGTCTGTTGTTTTTCGGAAATTATTTTTTCGAATCTGTTGTTGAGGAAGCGATAAAATCGTTGGGGGGAGGGGGGGGGGTCATGCATCGTCTAGGGAATGGGAGGCAATGGGGTTCGATATTAGATTGGGGAGCTCCATTGCCTTTGTTCAAGAGCCTTCTTCAACATCAATGCACGTTTAAGAGCATAAGAAAAATGGAGCACTGTAGAAGGCCTACTGGCCCATGCTAGGCAAGTTCAAGTCATTGCTCTGGATGCATTAAATATCTATATATAATACGGAAATATTCATAAGCTCTCAAAATAACGGAATATTCGTAAAATTTATATATATATTTTCTTCATTTTTTATAGTTTTTGCAAAGTAAATTTGGTATTTTTCATTTAATATTTCAGGCATTTTTTTTCAGAAAATGTAAGTCAAAGAGTTAATATGACTAAAATTTATAATATTTTATGTTTCTGAGAAAGTTAACATCACTTTAATTTCCATATACTATTTAACACATCAACTATTTGTGTTTACATCTCTAATAAACATTTGGGCAATGCCCCACAAGGATGACACCAAGTGTCAGTAGTGTCAATGATAGCAGTGTCATGTGACACTCAGGGCTCTAATTTTGACAACAGATGATAATAATTTATAACATAAAAACAGGTCACATTAACATGGAAATGAAAATTAGACACATATCAGATATCTGGGTATATTTATTGTAATATTTAGCAACAGTGAGAATTATTACAATAAAGATACCCAGATGTTGCACATGTGTCTAATTTTCATCTTGTCTGTATTGTGTACCATTCTTGTGCAACATGAAAATGAGCCACATAAACATGACAGAGATAAACACTCAC